GTCAAGTCAGTGCTTCTGTATGGTTCAGAGACTTGGCACGTTACGAAAGGGATTTCCGATAAACTACAGACATTCATCAACAACTGCTTACGCTGGCTGGTTACTGAAGATCAGATGGCCAGAATAGTCAGAATAAGCAACAAGGAGCTCTGGGAACGAACCGATCAAGAACCTATTGCTCAACAAATATGTAGAAGGAAGTGGAGATGGATTGGGCATGCACTGAGAAGACCATTCGGGGACATCACGCGCCAGATACTCGAGTGGAATCCCCATGGGAAGCGACGAGTTGGACGTCCGAGGGTGACATGGAGGAGATGGTGCGAGGAGGAAATGAGAGCTTGCGGGCTGTCGTGGAGCCAGGTTCAAAAGATTGCAGAGAACAGAGCGGAATGGAGACGTGCCGCTGAAGCCCTATGTTCCACTAGGAATCCAAGGGACTAATAATATCATAATAATATTCCTCCCCAAAGCCTATTTCGAGTGGTGGCATTCAGGGAAACGTGTTGGGGCCCATACTCTTCCTCCTTTACATAAATGATATTTCCAACGTGACCTGTTTGCGGATGACTGGAAAATTCTATATAGCTTCTCCCTGGCATCGCTAAGTGAGGGTTTTAATAGAATCCAGGAGGACCTGAAGTGTTTGCTCGCTTGGAGTGAAACATGGCAACTTCGACTCAACTTTAGTAAATGCGGAGTTCTCTGTTTCAACAATTCCTACCCAAATGCAGTTTATACCTTGGCAATTCTGTGCTGCAATCTTATAACTCGGTTTGTAATTTAGGTATTTGGTATCCTCGGAACTTAATGTTTACGGAGTATGCCCAGTCCCTTGTATCCAAGTGTAGGTGTTCAGTTGGCCTTTTGCTTAAACGCGTATATACCACTGAGGCTAGACTGCTTTTATTCAAAGTAATGGTCCGCCCAGTACTTGAATACGGAACAAAATTATCTTCAGCAATATACATGCTTTGGATAGGATACACATTGAGAATTATTCAAAGATCGTTTACTCGCTATGTGCTGGGCCAGCACGAAGGACCTGATCATGAGGAAAAGTGTAAGAAACTGAAGACTGACCCTGTGTGGCTATGACGCCATAAGCTCAACTTTAACCTATTTTCCCTCCTTTTGCTTGGCGTTGCTCATGCCTGTTGCTCTCTTACTTTTAAGCATATGTCCTCATACAATCCGAGCAATCATGAGTACGCAGTACCTGTTGAAAAACACCGCCTTAAACTTAGGTCGCGATCCTTTATGATACAGTACGGCAAGTTATGGAGTGAGCTCCCACATTTTATTCGCACTTGCATATCCCCATTTCAGTTTCAACGCCTGCTCAGAGAAAATTCCTCTGGTTCACAGATATCCATAAACCTCTTGACATCTATGCAATATCCACAAATACGGAGTATAATAGAGCGATCGGCACGTAATGATGGTCGAGCCATTGCGTCCACTACAAACGTACTTACACCTCTAAATGTATGAATAAGAGTTTGTAAAGTTCCCCAGTTTCTCTTATACTGACGGGCTTACGACTGCATGCAAAGGTGTGAGCGCTGTTTCTTCTCCGCATAATGAACTTAATATATACTGTTCTCAAGGCTACCGCGGTACGCCCCAAGTGTTGAAAACTTTTAAGAACCCTATAATGGAAAAACTCTATAGTTGACCCTACATATATACATGAAAGTTTGCATAAAGTTTAGATACGTCTAAAACAATAGGGACTTCTCTCTTCTCCAAATTGGATAGTGTAGTAATTCCCTTTTCCATACATGCTCGTGTTTTTTCTTTCTTTTCTTATTTGCAGTAACAGTTCCATGTCGACATCTGATACTGGATTTCAACTGGAACATAATGACTTAGTGAAAATAATATCCTTTACGAATTCTGGACCATCTTCACGATTAACACGTACTGGTCTCGATTTTTTGCCACGGACCGACTAGTCTCCCAAAAGTAACAGCAGCAAAGACATTCCGAACAATGATCGAACCAGAGACCAGTCGACATATTGGCTCGGAACACGACTTACCTGCAGTAGCTCAACATTACATGCTTTCTAGTACTCTGCATTAGGTGATAAAAGATACCCAGGTCAATTCATGAATACTGTCATCTGGACCGTTTCAACATCCATATCCATCCAATACAACAAATATTCTTGGTGGAATTAATCTGCATTACCTTTAAACGTAACGCGGTGACCTGGAAACGCTTTGATTTCCACACTCACCATGGTTATAACTGTGGATGCTTTACCAATACTTCAGATTGTATGAATGGGTCTTTTGTGGTTAGCAGAGCTAAAAACCGAGGAACTTTCCAAGGAATAGGCGGTTATACTACTAAATACCAAACTACGCAGAAGGACTAACAATGTCGGCTGTTTATAACGTACGCTTCGAACACTACGCGCTCTTGTTATTGTTAGTGCTAAGTGTCTGTGTCATGAGAGGTGGAAATCCATGCCCATCTCAAGAACTGCAGCAACTTTCAATGAGATTACACCCATCAATGACCTGATATGTTAATTAGTTAATACTGGATACAATTTCGCAAACTTTCAAGAACTACCAATTTGACGGTGCTTGTAAACTTGTATCCCTCATGTTAAATCCATTATATGAGAATAATATTTATCATTATCTAAACTCTAACACTCTGTATATGGTGAAAAGTGATATTTTCTTGTTCGTTCCATAACTAGCAGGATCTTCTGATTCTTTCAATAGAGTTTAATGACGCTCAGTCCGTACCATTCGGAACTTGTAATATCTTGCAGATTTTTCAGCACACCAATTTGGTGATGCCTGAGAACCGTCTTAATTGGTATAAACTAACTAACGGGAGAATAAAAAATAATTACTTGTATATTTTCGCCCATAATTGACCGGTAAATATGCACTGTTGGTTTGATTCTGATATGCATCTACCTATTTATGTTATGAGCTTAGTCCTAAGAGAGTCTAGTTTTAAGCAATAACGTTCACTTAAATGTCTTGTTCCAGCTTAGACTGATATCGTTTGGGCAGCAGGTGACCTGAAACTTCCAGGATTTTGTAGGGATCAAGTTAACATCCCTCCTTGATAATGTTGCATACCTTAACATGAACAATATGGGCGACCCATTGCCATTGGTCTGCAGTTCTTCAAATGTTTATTCCATTGCACGACAATATCTAATTCTGATGACGTAAACCTACATTGCCGTGAACGGTAACACTTGAATAGATATCCATTTAGGTCACATGATTATGTGGAAACTTACAGACTCCCAGAAATCGTAAATGTGAATTCTTTCGGTCTCAAAAGCTATAAGCATAAGAATTTATGGTGAAATGGACGTTTATCTAGTACAGCGTGACGTCACGAAGACGAATCAAAAGTGTCGACTGCTTGTAGCGGAAACTTAGAATTTTGCGCAACCCTGGTGGCACCAGTAGGGAAAAGCGTGACTGAGGACGATCTAAACTTTAACACTCTGTATGCGCTGAAAAGTGGCATTTTTTCGTTCATTTCATAACTCGTGGAACCTCCTGGTGTTGTTGATAGAATTTAGTGACCTCCCTTCTGCACCATTCAGGTCCCGTAAAATCCCGTAGATTTTTTAACATATATCGACGCGATGATGCCTGTAAACTGGCTCCTCTCATGTTAAATTACCAATATGAGAATAAAATGTTTGTTTATCTATTTAAGGTATACTGTGAAACTGAATGCACTTAGCAGGGGGTCTGCACCCACTAAAGATTTAAATCTGTCCAGATGGTGCATACTATGGACCATTCCCGACTGCCCTTACCTTTAAAGCGTTCCACACCACCCGAAAGAATAATTCATTCCACTCGCAAATTGCTGAGGTTAAAAGTATCGTAGGCACAACCACAAAAGGAAGGACAGCAGCACAAATATGCGCCTGTAAAGTAGACAAGAAACCTGTGCAAAAATACAACAATTGATGATGGGCACCTGCAACTAGTTGGGTTTACAGAAGGGGTGCTATAGACTTGAAAAGCCTGTTTCACCAAGCCGCATCGTTTTGGGGCACCAAAGTAGGGGTATCCTAACTTGTAAGATCCAGGTAGTTGAAAGACGGCAACAATGAGGTGCTGCAACTCTCGGTCAACCGGTGACTCTGTAGTTACTTGGTTTATATAAAGCCTTCAAGCGATGCGAATATTCTGGAGACCTAGTACAACTCACATTCACAAACTGAATTGTTAATCTGGTACTCTTTAGTGTACTTTCGCTCGTAATATATACTGCCCCGGAACCCGAAAATATTCGCGCGGCTATAATGTAGCTGAAGTTCCCAGTCTTGGCGCACTGCTTAGCCACTCTCTTGACCGAAAGTTATTTCCTGATGTTCAAAAAGTAGAACAGAGGACGCCATTCTTTTGAGGCGATCAACCGAAACACCAAGAAGAATACAGGGTGATGACTGTCTTACTTATACCTTGGAAAGTGACGCATTCGTTGAATCCTGGTGATTTCGGTTATCCTGCGTCGGCGAACTTCTTCTGATCTCAGAAGAGCAGCAGGATGAATTTTGCAGTATGTGAATCCTTCCCTGAAGAGGTGACTTCCTTAGAAGCATGTGAACACGATTATGCGACTCCTTATGAAGTGAATGCCAGCTAAATGACAAAGGATATGGTTTCTTCATCCAACTGAATTCTCATTTATTTCTTTTGCACCTTGCGCGGAAGCGGATGGGCTCACTTGTTGTTGATGCAAAGCGCAGAAGGTGGCCGAACAAAATCTTTTTCAGTTCGGCTACTGACCATAGAAACTATTTCCAGAACATATTTGAGTGGTTGGTAGTGTTCGTGACTAGCAAACTGCATATTGGTTAAAAAACATTTTCACTTGAAACAACAGTAAAAAACTTAATTGGTGTTCTCTGTGCACCGTCCACTGAACAAATACTTATTTCAAGTGTAAACATGCCAACTTGAAATTTCCCACTAGTTTAAATTTACGCTGGAATGGTAAGTGTAATCGCGAAAGCCTCCAAAGAATCACACACCACGAGGTATTTAAATTTCTTTGCACACATTGTATTTCAGTGCTACGGACCAGAAAATGGAGTCAAAGTTAAATGTTTGTGACCTGCAAGCTATTTATGATGCGTTTTCTGTAAGTCACCACACATTTCTACTTTTTGATATAGTTTGAAGGAAAAGGATATGGCAATAAATTGAGACTAACTAAGGAACAATTTGCTGAGAGTATGGGCCTGCTTATAAGCCGTGGCTCACGGCAGGAGGTAAATGATTTATCACTAATCTTATATTCTCATAAGTACAAGGATCTCTTTAGTAAAATCGATATCACCTCAGATGGTTTTGTCGACTGGGACAAATTTGCATCTTATTTGCTTTTGGAATTTTATGAGCAAGACAACAGGCAAAAGATTCTAAATGTACCACAGTGGAAAGATCTGAAGTCAATTAAGAGGTTTTGAATTTCATCACTATTATATTCACTAAGCCCTCATAAAGGTAATCTACAGAAAATTGTTTTTCTGAAAAATATTTCAAGATACTTGTCGATAAGTAGGGTAAGTTAGCCTGAAATCAACCCCCCAGATTTGGGTTCCTACAACTAGGAGGGACTTGCTACACTTTGGGGGATAGACCTAAAATCACACAGAATAGCTAAAGTGTCAACGGAATCATGCAGACCAAAAAACTTCTGTGTTATCGACTTCGCTGTAATGCCAAATGTTAACAGAGTTGCAGTAGCTTTTACCAGCAAGGAAATTGGTTAGTAATTATTCACTGTTAACTATCTGCTTTCTAGCGTTTTGTAATTTAGGTATTAAAATGGACTTATTTTGCCCTATCAAACTGTGCGATATAACAGATATACCAACCAGCCTAAACCATTGGTAAGAGTAGTCTTTTCGTATTTTCTACATTAGGTATAAACCTGATAATCCTAATGAAGCCTTATTGGTCTGGGGAGATACTAGAGGATACCTCAACATTTTATTCTGGGCCTATGCTACAATGGCTTTGTTTGAGAAGCCCACAAATTTATCGAAGCAAAAAGAGGGTAAGGATAAAATAACGGTTGTCTTGCTATTCAGTCAGAGAGAAACACAATGGTCGTAAGTACATTCCGTATGTTACGTACCGAAGTGATTTTATTATGCCGTCAACTTATTGAAACCTGAAGTGCTTGTGCGTCGTTTGTTCTTCATAGCTGTTATACGATGAAGGGTGGTAGTTTACTTCATCATATCGTTGCAAAGCTTAGTCTCCACACTGAGAAGAGATTATTTTTGGTTTTCCTAAAAGATCCTTATACCTCTTGGTCATCATCATCAAACTGAACGCAGGACCAGGAATTACTGCGTAACGGTCCAAGTTGCCACACTTCATATCAGCACACTGAGTATCAAGGCAATTTAATAGGAGATGAAGAAAAGGAAAAATCGGTCAAAAGAAGTAGAAAGTAGTAAAAGAGAGGAAGAGGGAATGAAAAAATGATGAAAGTAAGTACAGCGGTTAAGATGAGGATACATCTGCGCCAGAGATATCGGTCCACAGTCATGTCACATAGAGTCTCCAACCACTGGTTTCTCTTGTCTCGCTGACCCCAACTGGCTAGTTTCCATCACCCTACATAGCCCAAACGAACATTGATGCCATGCTTTGGTCTGTCTGTCTGTCCCGAACCTTTTCCAGCCTGAACTTACTTCGGCCAGTATTGTACGACAAGGTAGATGGTACCTAGGCATACGTAACACACGCCCCAGCCATCTCAGTCGATGAAGGTTCATAACCGCATCAACTTACTTACCTTTCCTCCCTAAAACTCTATGCCTGACTTCTGTGTTACGTGGTGAAATCACGAAACACGAACTATACTACGAAGGAAACGGTGGTCAAACACCTGAAACTTCATGTCTTCTATCTTTAATGCCCATATTTCACAGTAATAGAATGGAACAGGAAGGACTTCAGTGCAGTACGCTCGACCCTTAATAGACAATAAGATATCTCGGCATCGCCACAGATGGCATATGTTGGCAAAAGCCAACCAAGCTTTTTGTATCTGTGTAGAGATTTCGTTGGCCACTGATCCGACTTCTCAGGTAAGTAGAGTTTTCAACGCACTCAATCACTTCACTCTATTGTTAACCGAGGTATCGTTGAAGACCAGTCCTGAATTTGAATTTTGGTGGCGAGAAACGCATCCGAAATATTCACAAATTCCCACTAAAGGTGTCCAGAAGACTGCATCTTTTCAGCGTTTCACCTAACAGGATTATATCATCTGCGTATTTTAGGTCTCCCGAAAATTCTCGTGTGATTACGTCAATCCATGTGTGGTCAGATGAAGAGTAGGAGACCTCCAGAAGAACGCCTATGATAAAATTGAATAAGAATGAGGACAATGGAGATCCTTAACGGATACCACTGGACGTGCACAACTCACCCAACATCTCACTATAGGCCCTAACATGGCTGCAGGAGTTCGAGTGAAGAGCCTGCAACATGGTGGTGTGCTTACTGGGTACCCCTCTCAGTGAGAGACAACATCAGACTTCTCCATCGACGGAGTCAAATGTCACCTTCAAGTCGAGGGACACAGCTACTGTCAGGCGCCGGCAAACGTGCTTGTGTTCCAGAGCCTCTTGGAGTGTTAGTTTTTGATCAATATGCCCACAGCAGTGTCTATTGCGTACATGGTTTTCCCGGGCTTTCCGTTTCTTTGCTCCACTCAAGCGTCTTTGGATTATAGCACTTAGGATCTAAGTTACTTTGTTCGTCAGGCTGATTTCTCTTTGGTGATCACAAGAGGACTTTACGACTTTCTTGAATACTGGGATAACCGCTGGTTGAGATTAATGAGTGGGGAACATGTGTGAATCGCATACACTAGTTAACACTTCAGTTAACTTGACTCAAAACACTCGATCACCGATCTTATATACGACTGGAAATAGTCCATCCGGTTTTGCTGCATTTCCTCTTTCCAAGTTACCTACCGCTTTCTCAACTTCTGCAGGTGCTGAGAAGCCTATCTTATCGTTCTGCTCAGGATCCGACTGCAATAATGGATGGAGCCCAGTTGAACTGTTCCTCGAGGTGTTCCATCCATCTTCCCTGTCGTCTCCCATGTAGATGAATCGCAGACCCATCCTTCTCCGCTATAATCTCACTAACTGTTGACCTTCACCCTTAGTTTCTCTTGTGAGTCTAAATAATTGTCTGCTATTGCCTATCATCGCTGCCTTTTCCATCTTTGGCCTTCACTGTTCACAGTCATTGCTTAGAAATTTTGTCAGTCTATATTTGAGTTGCGTTTGCTTCTCATTATACTCAGAGCCTTCAGGGATGCGTTTAAGTGCATCCATTAATCCAGAAGATGCTGCTGGTATTCACTGGCTCTTTTTAACCACTCTTTGAGATTCGACTACAGTTTTCAACGCTGTTTTTACTTCAGATTAGAGATGGCACCAAGCTTCTTCTGTTCCTATAACTGCCTAGCCAGTTTCTTACTGGAAGCGACCCCAGTGTTCTCATTGGTGACCTGCACTCGTAATGGTCTTATTGCCAAAGTTTTTCTACGTCCACTGAGAAGCAGGTATATATGCGCTCGAACCAACACTTGTTCGCTATCCAAACATGTTCTACAAAGGAAGTAGAAGGTGTCCATTGACTTTCTCCAGCGATGACCGAAAGCAATGTGGTCTATCTGCGTTCATCACTGAGTTGAGGTCGGTGAACTCCACGTCAGAAAATCTCTTTCTTTATGCCTCTTTAACTGCTTACCTCCAACGTGTACTAAGAACTTTGCCGTCCTTTATTTACTTCGTGAGGATACACCGCCCAATTCATTCACCTGAGCAGTCTTACCATCTGAAATGGGTTAGTAACTGGTGAAATATCCGGAAGCGTAAGGAAAGGTCCGATTGTTTTTCACCAATTCACACCCCTCGTTCTAACGTCAAGTCAATGCATTGCCTATATACTGTCGAGTGTATTGCACTGCATCTCATTGTTTTTATCTATGGCTCTTAAAGATGAAACCTTACTTGACTTTTAGTGGACTGAGGTGGTCTGAACATCAGGCAGTCAACATATTACCTTGTAGCGTCACACACTTTCTCAAAATCAATAGCTTAGGGTTTGACGACTTTCGACATTGATGCTGACCTTGATTGTTCAACTGGTCTCGCTAAGCTGAAGGCACCCGGTCAAGCATCCTCGCCATTTGGCACGCTGTCATGTTACGTTGCACTGCTCGTATTCGACTCTCCAGTCAGTTAGTTGGAACGCATCGGTATTTTGGCACAACCATCCAAATATACTATTCTATCCGACTACGCTATCGTGTTCTTTCTTGGTCTCGTATTCGTGGGTATATAACAAGTTCGAATGATTAGTGATTGGTCTTTGCGTCTGTCAAGTTCGCACCAGGAGAAATCCTAAAACCTAGAATTGCAGCACATTGGTTCCAGCTGAAAATCCCCATATTACTTAGCGATGAAAAATAAAAGATAAAGTCTGAAGTCATAAACATCTATGAAGACGAAGAGTTAACAAATAGAGAAATTTACATTGTTCTTAAGTTTGAAAGCAAGCTTGGATGTAGTCTTTCCCGTGAGATCACCCTTGATTATGAAATCTGCCGTCTTGAAATATCGGCTTTGGTTGTCTTATGGACTAGACTCCGAAAGGCTGAACATCTCTAAATGGCTCAGACAGACATTATCTACTTAGAACCTCACATACAAATGCATCTAAAAATTGTGGTCATTTTTCAGCCTTGCCGCCGTTCACAAGCTAGAATAACAGGTTAACAAAGTGCTCATAAGTATCAGAGTTGCCAATTCATTGGAAAACTAAACTTATGGCGTTTTATGTCGTATTTCGGAGCACCAACCGAGCAGTCTATTAATCTAATCCTGTCGAAATAAACTCAATCGCCGTCATCTCTGGAATATAAAGTTATGAATAATGTATCACAAAGCCTCAAACCTTCTTCGGAACATGACTGATAAAAACCCTTTTCAAGTCCAACATAAATGTTTCACTAAAGAGTATAAGTCTGCAACTGAAAATAAAGGTTGCAATATGTTAACCACTAAGAAATTAAATTGAATTAAACTTGTTCTTTCTTGAAAAATATCTGATGTATTACATTAGTATGAAACATACATCCTTATTAGATGTTCAGTATAAGTCCATGAAGTTAGACTCATCAATGATAATCAGTAATTTACTGAATTGAATTTCTTTATCACGTTCAATGACTTCGTTGCTCAGCTATTTATCTGGTTACTTTATTCATGCAATACAACATTGAATGAAAGAATCAGTAGCATGGAAATACTGATAAAATTATCTTTTAATGCATTTTTATGAGTCGCTTTGTCAGGACATTCACTATGGCTGCTACATAACCTGAATTCCATGCACATTAGTTTGTGACTATTTAAAAGAATCAATATACCCCGATCTTGTGACCGTTGTTCCTAATAATTAATAACCAGACATAATGCATGTAAAGCAGTAGTTATGTCACAAAATCAACGTACATACATGTTGAATGAGGCTGATGAGGGTTCGTAGGTGTCCATAGTGTTGAAGCAGTCGCCTGCCAAATTACTGCTACGTCCACGCTGTCAAACGCCTTTTCAAAGTCGATAAAGTTGAGGTAGAGAGTTGACTGCAATTCTATACTGTTCCATGATGCGGAGATAGATGAAATGGGCTAAACAAGCAGGAAAAGGCTCGTCTCTTAACAAATTGTAGACCTTAATTTTTCAAACACAGACAGTTCAATGAACGGTGATTAAACACTATTTTGTAAATTCCCCAATCTACCTGAATTCTCCTTACTGCAATGGCGTCAAACTTACATAGCACAGTTGAGTCGGTTGAAAGCAAACTACTACTTACCAAACATATGAGTAGTGGATTGCGTAACACGTCTGAGTGCAAGCAATAAAATGCATGAATAAGTTCACTGCCATTCACAACCCCTACCAAGCTTAGTTTAGAATGAGTGCATTTCATTTTGGATGCTTCAAACAGATTTGTTGATTGGCTGAGTCAGTCAAAAGTAATTCCATGATTTGTTTAAAACTGAAGATTACGAATATTCTGTGAATAAGTAGCCAAAACAATAATGACAATATTTGTAATGATGATGGAAATCGAAAGTGCATCAGTTTGTTGCACTGTTGGTGCAAAAGCTCATATAAATATGCAAAATACACTTCACGTAATAACCTCTATAGTGTAGAATTACGTATGAAAGCATTCAGTTGTCTACTTGTATTCTACATTATTCTTTCCAGCAATTGTCCTGGTTATGGTTATCGCAACAAGGGTAAGCTAATAAATAACTTGATTGGCAGTTATATCATGTTATACAAGTAAATTTATCACTGAAATATAGGTGTGAAAGATTTCGACACCCTTCTTCAAAGATTCTGATGCAGGAAAACACATGAACCGCTTCCATAACTTTTGTATATTTTAAATATATATGTATAATATGTTATATATTTTGTATATTATGAGAAGGAGCAATTGTTTGGCTTCTCAATACCATCATATTTTATTTTGAGGACAAATGAAAATTGTGTTCTCAGTCTCAACAACCACCTTAAACCAAGTATATTAAACGTGTAAGCTTTTTAATTAATACAATCAAGTTATGAAATAGCATGTACACTAATGCACAATTCTGCTTCATCTAAACTGGTTTCTCATAGCCAAAACGGAGAGGACTTTCTGTTCATTCTGATTATGAAAACAACATATCTACTTCTAATTTTCATATTGGTTGACGAAATCTTTCCTCTGAAATGTAATAATGTGCACACTAAACTAAGCAAAAGTAGGCGGAGGTATCATCTGAAGAAGGTTATTCACTGGAACTGCGCGTCGATGTGTCCAATATATGCACTTTAAAGCATTCATCTGACCTTTTATATGTACCATTGTGTGTAAGGAATGGTACTTTTAAGTAGTCAGATGACAAATGGAATTCTCATTGTGAAAGGCTTACTGAAAATGAGACTCCTCTTTCTGTCAAAGCAATTCTTATGATCTTTTGAAAATGGTACCTGTACTTCAGAAGAACAAAGGTATTCCGTTACTGGAACATCTTTCACATTATATCTCAGAGGACCTAATAAGGTTGAAGTGTATATACATGTATGTATGTATGTACTGATGGCTAGTTTTAAGTCAGCGAAAACAATAGATTTAGTGAAGAAATTTCTTTCAGTGATTTCACTTCTCACAGCTGTGCAGTCACAACTTATACACTTTTGTCTAGCTATATTGGATAGTTAAAAGAAATATTTAATTGTAATTAGGAGGAAAGATCAAGACGAATGAAGATTAAACGTTCATATGTGTGATGTAAGGTGAAAAGTAATCACAAAAGAGAGTAGGTACCAACATAACAAACTGGATATAATATAAATTTGCATAAAATGTGGAAATGAATTTCAAGATAAAGCATGATCAAGAGAATCATGGAAATGAAATGAGGACAATTTTGGGTTATTAAAATATGTGTATTCTGAGGTAAATGGGGATTTAATTCTGAGTTAGTATTCATAATGAATTGAAACCAGTTGGAGTGTCTTTAAGAAGCTGGCAACACTGCACAGCTGCAGTGTCCTAGTATGGGACTCCCCAGCGGCACGGGACGGAAGTGGATGGCAACTGAAAGCCTTGGGTGACAGTCACGCTAGATCCCTAATTGAGAGAAATTGGAAACCTGATACACCGATCTCCTACCCAGTGACTGAATAGTTAACGCGTTCACCATGAAACAAGAAGTTCATGAGTTCGGTCCTTAGTCGGGTCGTGGGTGCACACTGCTAAGAAGTCCCATACTAGAAGGAAACAGCTGTCCAGTGCACTTAGGTTTCCACTGCTTCTCCGACTGATGTCAGTTCGTGGTAAATACTACCTCAGAATTAAAATATACAAAATGCAACAAAACTGTGAATGATTATGAGAGAGAAATGGGTTGACTTGTAATTAGCAATTTCCAAAGTCCTCGGTAGCAACTCAGGTTGTGCAAGTTTCTTTTGTACACATAACTCCATTTTCTCCATGCATATAGCAAGACCTCCTGCAGCACATATTATTTGGCAATGCAAGAATATCTGGTAGGTTTCTTTCTACTCTGTAAATGATTTTGAACTCAGAAGCAGTTGTGACAGTGTGACCAGTGTTGACAAGGTGTTCAATTATTGCACTTCTGATCGATCCACTCGCACCTGTTTGCAGCCAGGCGGGTTAATCTTCTCCAACCCGTTAGGAAAGAATGCCACCTTTGTATTATACAGCAGAAAACTTATTGCCTATATAAGTGAAAAACTTGGGCACTGTGGTAGAATGTAATTCCATATTAGATTTGTTTATTTGATATAAAACGCACAGTGATACAGTATTATTTACTTGATTACTTTTCGAGCATAATTTATTGCTCATAATCATATCAATGATATGATATGATGTGATTATGAGCAATAATTTATGCTCGAAAAGTAATCAAGTAAATAATACTGTATCACTGTGCGTTTTATATCAAATAAACAAATCTAATATGGAAACTTATTGTATGTCTAAGCAAGTCATCTTCCGCGTGCTATGGTAGTAACTAGGAAATAGATGACTTCAGTTTTTTATACTCTCAAAGCACTCTAAATCTGAATTCACACCCGAATTCTAATTAAACTCAGATTTTCCATTTTAGTATGTCCATTAGAAATGAAATCAAAATGGAATTACAATGTACCACTGTGCCTAACTTTTACTCCAATATTAAACTCAAATATTGTCACTTACAGTAGACTTAACTGTTCATTTAAAGTCTCAAACACTCTCTATGGTCACAGAATTTCATTCTCCAAATACAGGAAACTGATATAGCATATAACATGAGAGTCACCACTGTGCACAGTAACTATATTGGCCTAGAGAAGAAATTTAGAAAAACAAATGGTTTCAGAGCACAGTGATTGTTACCCCCATGATTACTTTTGATCTACATTATGCACTTGGTTTTCCTGGAGAGTAACAAATTAGCCTTTTACAAAGTCTACTACATAATGTTATATTGCATACAGGTAACCAACTGCATAATAAGTACAGTAAATCTTGAACGAAATTTCAATGTGAACATTTTTTAACAACTGGAATCATCAGTTCATTTCATACGGGACACTTTTGAAAAGTAAGCAGAGTCCGTGCAACTTGCTAGCTCACTCTAGGTTGAAACAAACTATTGCCTCAATGTCATATTCTTACTGCTTCAGATCCATGGTGGGGTCGCCGACGATATCGATTTGATCTGGCTATTGCAAGCTTTGTGAAGAGTTCAAACCCAGGTTCTGTATGGTTTACACCTCGAGGAAAATATATGTACCTGAATGGCAGTGTTTCCGGGCTTCCACGTGGCAAACTACTGGGTGTACACATTCATCAATATGGAGGTCTCGGAAACATGTGTCTTGAAGCTGGACCACATTTTAACCCCTTCAAGCAGTAGGTATTCACTAATTTCCCATTTACCTTTCTTTAGAACAGCCTTCAACTAATTCAGTGGAATTAGGTGTGCTCGACTTCTAAGTTCACTGCTACTCAATCAGCATGAATGCTGACTTAATATACGAGTGAATGAATGTGGAGTTAAATGGAATGTTGTTAGTCGGTTGGATGCAAGCGGGAGGCAGCCCTAACTAGTGATGAGACAGCTATTCCCATGGGGCTCAATCTCGGCAGCCATCATTTGAAACGCCTGAGTGTTTTCTATCAAGCTGTGAATACATGATGGCCATCTCTTGCGTGATGGATATAATTTGATGTTACAGCTGATTTGTTTGAGCAATTTTCAAAATCAATTTATCATTCTTTTAAAATACATGGTTGGAAACAGAGACGGTTAAGGAAACTTAACTTCATGTGTGCACCGAACACTCCAAAATTCAGTTTACAATTATAGATTACCCCTTTAATTAAATCTGAATGCAAACCACTCAGTTCGCTATTTCTGGTGACCAGCTGCATTGACTTTGAACTACCAAAACCCAAGCAGCAATATGGCATAGGAAGAATGCTTGTCACTATTATCTACAGACTTTACAAGTCTCTAAATACCAGATAATATCCACGCTTGCATACAACGGAGACTACAACTTCATAGCCTTTTAAATTTCACATCATTTTTAATGATCATCAGCTCATTCCTCATCTAGAAGATAGTATTTCTACTCTCGTGAGAAGACATGATCTTTGTGTCCGATTCGTAAGCATGCATCTTGCCATATTTTTATGTGATGTACATTCTAAAATAATATTGATTTCATAACATTTCAGTTCATCGTGTGAGCTACATCTGTTCGAAATGAAATACGTATCACCTTTTACTTTCCATGACTCATGCACGCATTAATACCAATGTTTCAGATAGTTTTTTAAGTAGTACCTAGAATAAAACGTTACAAGGCAGTAGTTGATAAATGTATGTATTGAAGTAGTTGACAATTTTGAAGCACCTTATAAAGTAGAATAAATATATTTTAGGAATTCTCTGTTATAAAATGTACATATGCATGTTATTATATGCTTGTAAGATGCCTTTGCTTACCTATGTGGTAAGTAATAATCCGTGCCAGTGTATTATGGAATATGCATGTCACAAGTGTATATGAATCTTGATGACATGCCGAGCAAAATCAGCAAAATTGCAATTACATTTTAAGTTACATGAAATGTGGTTTATTGGTTAGTTTAGTTAACATTTAGAAACTGTTTTCTCATGTAACCACACTACACTTTCATTATTCTAAAAATCAGACGTCATGGAGGACGTACAGGTCATCCTAGACATGCAGGTGATTTGGTAAATATTCCAGTTGATGGAAATGGTGTAATGCATTTCGATCTATGGGTTAGCTTATACGGACTTGGACCATACAACGGATTTATTGGGCGTGCTCTAGTTATACACCAAAAGACTGATGATCTTAGAATATTTCCAGATACAGGAAGTCGAACAACTGGTAATTCAGGCGCCAGGTTGGCTTGTGCTACAATCGGATATCGTGCTCCTTAAAACTGTTCTTTTCTCAAGCATTCTGTGCATAATTATTTACTTAACAAAATATAATACAACATAATCAACTAATAGATTTCCTTTCGTTTCAGCTTTCGTACTATACGATTTGTGATAGTCGATTGAGAAAAGCCGAAACTTTGAATAGGGGTGGATGGTGCATTGATTGGTTACTGAAGAGTAACTAGCGCCATGTTGACTAGTTCCAAGTGCTGATCGAATTCTATCAATCACTTGGCAATCTGGCCATCAGGTTGGGAGAATCAACTTCGCGATGTACTTTAGAGATATGATTTCTGAGTAGTTAAATCTTCCACCGATGAGAAGAAATCCTTCTACCAGCACAGAAGACTGTTTCCGTTACTACTTTGTTTCCTTTTCTCTACCACTCTTCTCTTGAAGTTTTGTTATCATATCACCATACACTTCCCGTTGCACTAATAGCGATATATTATCTCTCGCTGTATGTTTCCTCAATTATCATGTGACCCAAGCTTAAGGACTTATCTTGGCTGCAGGAGTACATACTAGTAATGTAGACCACGACCTACCTTCTGAACCATGCAACTGGTTTGACTAGCTCCTTCCAACTCGAACAATAGCATGGAACGAAGTTACTAGTTTGATACATGGTGCCAATGTTGACTCTGACTGGTCTATTAGACTTAACACATTCCGGGAGAAATTCTCAATTACGACTTAAAGTCATTACGGCTTCTCTGTTCTTTACGGACTAGAACCTTCAAGCCAGGTCGTTAAATTCAACCGTTTCTATATGCTTGGTGACGTCCAATTGGCAGGATTTTCATCTGAGCCGGCGTATCCTCACTGACCCATGGATGTCATCTGGTGAATAATGGCCGGATGGTTAGCCACAAATGTGACTAAATGGTTTTCTGGGTTGCTTACACAATACGCAACCACCATAGAATCCGTCCAGAAGTAAACTTTATCAAACACATTTGGAAGACTGTTTCTTAGAATTCCACTCATTCATGTGCTCAGAACTGCTGCTGTCGTTTCTATCCTGGGAATGGTTACTGGTTTGTGGGTGCCACTTTAGCCTTGCTAAAAAGCAAAACACTGTACGAATGTTTAGGTTTGGGGGAAGTTCCGTGAGCAGGCGACAGCCCCACAACCTGTTTCAGAGGCATCGCAAAATAAATGCAACTCAGTTCGCCTAACCTCTTCACGGCCTTCTCTCCTAATGTTGCCGAGTACTTCAGTCTACCCGAACTTCGCCTCAAAGTCTTCCTACAAGGACGTAGCACTTGTGCTTAAAGGTTGATCCCAAGCAGTATGGGACTTGCAAGGAGTCTGTAAGAGTTGTTTTGCAGGCAGACAAATTGGAGTAACCGAACCCAGTGGTTCAGAAAGCGATCATAGTGCAAAAAGTATTCCACTTCTTGTCGTGGGTTTTATAGCTGGGTCGAAACGAAACTCAAGAACATCGTGTACCACGTCCCATTTAATGCCCAGTGCTCCATGACTGGATCCTTGACATAAGCGTGTGTCACTTGTTGTTTCTATATCGTTGAAGATGGAAAGGAATGCCCTCACAGGTTCTGAACAAGTCATCCACTCTTTCAACTTAAAACCTCCTTCAGCCGCTAGTTCATCTAGTTGCTCTACAAACCCGTTTGCAATTTCATCATCTGGAAAGGATTCGAGACAATCATTGACAAAGAAGTTATTCTTCACCGAATGCACTACGTTACTAGCGTCTTTTTGTGTAGTTTTTAACGATGCAAAAGTTGCCCAAAATGGCGGAGAAGCGACATCATTTGGTACTCAATAGGCTTCTTCGAGATATCAGCCTCTGGTCACCAAAGGGGGTGCAGTGCACAACAGCCTGCCTCTGAGGCCTTCACTTGGATAAACATCTCCATAGATGCAGGAAAGGCAACCGGTTCCTTGCAAAAACGTAACAGTATACCAGCTAAAACTGCCGTTGTACCAGAGACTTGATACAGTTGACCATTCAAAGATTTGCCGGCAACTTTGACGGCGCAATCTAGAAACACCCTCACTCTGCCTGGCTTCTTGGGATTCATGACCATGTGATGAGGCAAGTACCTTAGTGGTTGATAGCTAGAGTCGAGTTGTAACGGTGGAACTACCACTGCCTATCCCTTGTTAGTAGTTAGCTGTGTAGCCTTGATGTAGCTCTGAAGAAGATCTTCATGGTACATCATACGACATTTCAAGCTCTCTAGTCTCCCCCTAGTTAATAATATACACCATGGAAACTTTTCAGTTGCGTTATTGAGGTGGGTAGTGAGTACTACTTGATCATATACTTACCTTTTGGAAAAGGCATATTCCTATCCTATTAGTCAGGTGTCCCAGGAATATTATGGTCTCCACCCTGAAAACACACTTACCTCGATTTATCGTCATAGCGTTGTCCTCTAGTCTTCTTAAAACTGCTGGCATGTGATTCTCGTGTAAGCGTATATCCAGACTGGCAATTAGTAGATCATCGATGCATGCTTTGGTGTTGCGTGTGTCTTAATTTTGTTCTTGTAATGTATTCAAAAACGTTAACCGCTCGTCTTGTTTGACTTTATTCGGTTGGTTTGTTGAACGATATCTCGGTCCTCCAGGAGGACCTTTCAGAAATCCCAAGTTTTATTGCTTAGTTGTTGAGTTGCTCTTAAGCTCCAACCGACAAAATGCTGGAGGAACAGATGGGAGACAATTGTAATTTACCTCTATGTCCACAATCCCCTTCATCCTGACATACTCCTGCTAAGCTTTAATCAGGAACTCCACCTCAGGGGCCATCCATTGAGAGTAGAGCATGAGACAGTACGCTCAAAGATCCGTTCTAACTCGTTTGCAGTTAGGGTTTTTGAAATGTGGAACTCCATTCCTGCAGAAGTTGTTACAGTTCTTTCCTCTGATACTTCCAAAAGGAGGTTAGATACACATTCAGAGTTTTAAGGTATCGATGGTATGTACTCGAGTAGCTTTCCGCCATCTACAGATCAGGGAGAGCAACACTACCTATGAAGAGGAGATTATCTAATAATCGATTATTTCTGTCCTTTCAAGTTTCTGGGGATCAGAAAGACAACCGTAACCACCCCAAACCAAACGTAGAAATCAGGAAAACATCGTTCACTAATTCTACCATACGAAGTTTGATATGGAAGCCGTTGTTTTGATTGATCACGTCATTGCGCTTGATCAACTTTAAAGACAACCTTAGAAGCAACTGAAATAGCCAATCAGAATTATTTGTTTTGTGAAAATTTTCCTTCCCAGCCGAAAAAGAGAAACATATTCGGATATTTCAGTCACTGTTTTGGTGACCTTTAAAATCACTCTGCATTTTGGTATGTTCAGAAACAGCAGTAGACGTCAAACTGAAAGTTTGTGATTGAAGTGTATACGCATATTTTCCTGTAAAGAACGACTTTCAAAGAGTTCACCTATAGTTTGAATGTACACTCTCTGTTTGGCAATCAATATTTTGGGTTTGGTTGGTTTTACATTGTATTTGAGAACTCTTGAGATTCGTGTCTACGTCACGAGCGACACAAGGATTTCCGCTGTAAAAATAGTTCTTCACTTGGCTCCACTCTTTTTTGACTGATGGTTTGCATCTTTCTCCCGTGCAACTCAGTTTCCATATCTGGGATATTCTGTTCCTTTGCGATACCACTGATTGCGAAAATCAAGCTTCTGAACGAGTTCATAATATTAGAACAAGACAACGGAGGACAGTTTTACATGTGGAGAACAGCCTGGAGGTTTCTAATATTTTGTTCGATGACGTTGAAGATAAAGTGAGTATTGATGATGTTAGTGTACATGGTTAATGTGGTAAGTGTAATTATATCAATCATAAGACACTTAAATGCTTGTCAAAGGAGAAAAAACCAGAAAAGGGATTAACAACTTGAGCCGATGCACCTGTGTGAGAGGTTCCACGTTGATTTTGTCGGTTAGTTGTATAGTCTGAATGTGTCAGGAGTTGGGAACAAGGCATGCAGTTATTTTGGTTTTAAGAATGCCGTAAGAACACCCGAAACCTATGATGTACAAAGTTACTTTTTATTGGACTTGAGGAATTGTTTGGCTTCCATTGTGAACGACATCTCATTGCCATGGGATAAATCTATGTATTCTGATAGTCAGCCCAACCAATATCAGTCGTTTATTATTCAGTTTCAAACTACAATAGGAGCTAAAGCCAGATGTTGACCTATTTGATACACATCTGTAAAGGAGAGGTGGGGATAACGACAAAGGCATATGTCTCATTGACTGCTAATCTGGGATATCATCGACCAAGAAAAATCCTCCATTATCCGTTTGGGTAGGATTATATGATTGCTAGATCACTTATTGATTATTTGGTTGGAAATAGGCACTGGGTTGGGAGTAAGGTTGAGAATATGAATGAGTTCTCTGTAAAGTTCAGATAGACTTTGTTGTAGACTTGAATTCACCAGTCAACTTGAAGGCTATTGTTGGCCGTTTACCCACGGATTCGCAAGAAATGGTCTGACGTAGTGGACAAGATTTTGGTTGCCTGAAACGAACCTGAATTTGAAAACCTTGTTGAGGAAAGAGCAGGAGTAGCCCAAGTGACATACGGCTTGTAGGCACGACGCAACCTGGAGAGAAGTCAGACGAAGAGTTCTGTCTCACAGTTTAGCAGAAGGTCGCACTGCTATTTGATGGAAGGTATTGAACACTCAGTGGGTAGTAGGACAGCACCTTGTCCTGCGATTCGCATCTTGTGTCGTAGATCCCATGCTCTGTCTGAACGTCTGACGCCATTGAAAGTGCCAGTTGACGAAGGAAGACCAATAGTCAAAGGAGATGATGTCTGTTTTATTTGTTTGAAGAGGAGTCACGTGGCTAGGTTTTACGATTCCAGACTTAGGTCTAGGCTTAAAGATTGCGACGTAGACCACCGATCTTTACTGCGTG